TGCCTCAAAGCACGAGCAATTGGTTCACTCGGCACTCAGCCGGGTATAGGGTGGGTTTCGAAATTCTGTAATGTTTCTAATTAAAAAAAATATTAAAGGGCGCCACCAACTTACTTCAGGCGAGTTTAAGTTGAAAAACTCCCTAGATATCGATAGGTTCCGTTTTCTACACCATTAACACACACGTCGCAATTATCAATCAATTGACGTTCTGTTCAATTAAATAGGACTACGAATATTTCACCCAGTATAAGGAAAAATCATAAATGTCAAGAAAATATATCATGGTTTACCCTAAATATTCCACTATTTTATTGCCAACTCCAGATCATTTCCGAAACAGGAACATGTTCAATATTGGAATTAAATGAGATAGTTCACATACATAATCATTATATCGGATAACCCCCCTGTGTGTACACTCAGAGTTCACAGTTATTTTGTATTTTTTTTTGAAGTAAGGATGATAAATGATTAAGGATTAAGCTAAAACAGAAATGATGATTCTTCCTGGGTGACACAGTGGAACTTCAACAAAAATCAACCCCATGAATAAAAAAACATGCATCTTATCTGCGATAGGTCTTCCTTTGGAGGAGGGGCCTTAAACCATGCATTTCCTCTCCTGGTAAGCAAAAGCAAGCAGTAAACTAATGTAAGCAGCAAGCCAAAATTCAAATAAGCAGCAACAGGTAGCGTGGTTCATGCAATAACTGACCGCTAGGTATGCAATATGGAGTTACTTCACACTGATCCAGTTGTATTATAGTACATAGAGTAAAAAGTGAATGGAAGCATAGATGCACCATACAATGGACTCAATCGGCCCATAGGACAACCCTAAAATCAATTCATATTGTAATTGTCGCTGAAAAGCTTACCGGAGTTTTCCATTATTCACTTCATGTGATCTTCGAGGGTACGAGTTTGGAAAAGGTTCGAGTACCTACTCGTGAAATGGCTGATAACTCGATCACGCTTTTGGTCGGCAGTGATAAATCCTTCTAGCGAAGAGCAATTTGCCAAATCTGAATATCACTACAGTAAAACGGAACACTATGGCAAAATTGATATTGGAAACAAAGTGAAAAATCCAACAATATGATGAAATGAAAATCCACAAAAATCAACTTTGTCTCACACTGTCCGACATTAGCGAGAAAAATCCTCAACCTTCTTTCTCAGAATGGTAAATTTTCGCGTGATAAAAGATAGAGAATAGTCCCAAGTAGCACACATATATTGGAACAATATCGGTGCAATATTACGAAAATATCGGCAAAATATTGTGAAAGTAATATTGGCGAGAAAAAAAATGTGAACATTCGGCGATATTGGTACAATATCAGTTTCCAAATATGGGTAGAATATTCTCATATCAATATTGGTTGAATATTCGTAGAGTTATATCGGACACAAAATGTAAAATCAATATTGGCGAGAAATTAATGGTGAACATTCGGCAATATTGGTGTAATATATGGAAATATCGGTGAATCATTAAAAATCATCATGAAGGTATGTTGTCTCAGAAATATTGGTAGAATATTCTCCTACCAATATTGCTGGAATATTCGTGAAGTTATATTGGTCACAAAATGTGATATCAATATTGCTGATAAATGGACAGTGAACATTTGACAATACTGGTGCAATATTGGTTGGAAATATTGGTTCATTAATGAAAATCATTATGTAGCTATGTTGTCGTCAAAATATTGGTGGAATATTTTCATACCAATATTTGCGAGTTATTCGCATCAGGAATAATCACAAAGGTCAGCCCAGCCGGAGTGCAATGGGAGGGCCAAGCCCTGGGGAAGCCGCCTTGTTGATCACGGTTAACCCCTACTCCAGGTTATAATACTTTACAATCGTCTAGAGCCAATATTCATATTCTCTCGTCTGATCGGCAATGGGAGTACGTTACCAATCATTTATAGCGCCATCTATCGACATGGGTTTGGGAGTGCGTAATATGGAATAAATATCGAGATTTTGATATCGATATGTATTCTCAAAACAATATGTGAACAATATTGCTCACATGATATAGTGAATCACATATCAGCCAATATAAGATGATATTATTTTCTGAATATGGCTAGAAAACTATTCACCCGATATGCAATTGAACTTGAAAATACAATATTGTTTTTCTCTTCTATGTCCGATATAAGATATATATTGAATTGCCGTTATTGATATTTATATCTGAATTATTGAAACCCCCTTCAGAATCGACATGGGGAGAATGTTCAAATTGCGATATTGGTTATGATTGTTGGAAACAATATGTATACGATATTTCCCGCATGATATCAATCAATATAGGTAAATTCGATGTTCCAGATATTGTTGAAACAATATTCATCCAATTTGCCGTCGAATCCGATTACACAATATCGTATATCCGCTTCAGAATCGACATGGGGAGAATGTTTGAATTGCGATATTGGTTATAGTTGTTGTAAACAATATGTGTGCGATATCTTCCGCATGATATGGATAGAATGATATTAATCAAGATAGGTGAATATGATATTTCGAATATTGTTGAAACAATATTCAAGCAATATGCCGTCGAACTCACATATACAATATTGCACAACCGCTTCAGAATCAACATGGAGACAATATTCAAATGGCGATATTGGTTATAAATGTAAGAAGCAAATTGTATACGATATCTTCCGCATGATATAGATAAAATGATATCAATCAAGATGGGTGAATATAATGTTTCTAATATTGTTAAAACAATATCCAACCGATATGCCGTTCAACTTGAATATACAATATTGCATAACCGCTTCAGAATCGACATGGGGAGAATGTTCAAATTGCAATATTGGTTGTAAATGTCGGGAACAATATGTATACGATGTTGTTGTATCGACATTCGCAAAACAATATTATATAACATTCATAGATATGTATTTCAACACATTGTTAACAAATTTTACAACCAATATTTCTCCAATATTGTAGCTGACAATCCATATTCAGCTCAGGTTGAACCAATATTCCACCAATATTATCATTCCAATATTGTTTGTCCAATATACTCTCATATTGGACCTATATTATTTTTCACATGTACGATATATCTATATCGGCCCAATATGGAATCGGGTTCCAGCCAATATGATGTGCTACCTGGGGTGTCCTCTTCTATTCAGTAACAATCATTTCCAAAACCTATTTTGAAAAACTTAATAACAAACTTTCCTGACCAATGAGCATGAAGATATTTCCGAAAGATGCCGAATTACCCGTAAGTACACGAATACTTTTGACGATGACTTCTATGTCTGAAAGATAAAAATAACCAAACTGATGACAGCGAGCTACAGGTGATTTTCGTGCGTTTCGTGAGTTGCTATATCTTTATAGGCGCTGACGCAGGAAAGAACATGGCTGATACCAGCTGATCGACTATAGCTGTAAAGTTGCTGCATGACATGGAACGGATGAATAAGACAGAGATGAATATAGCTGCTACCAGCTGATCCGCAAGGTTATGACTGAGATGTTATGACTTATGGTTAATTATTTCGTAAACAAACTAAATAAACATTTGATACAACAAAATTGAATCATAGATGATGGAAATCAGGTAAAATGTTCTTGTTATTATATTAATTTCCCTATTTCATTCATATTCTTCAAATTATAATCAGATCAAACATAAATTGTACAGCGATTCTGATATGTATCTTGTTTATTCTAGGATCCACCGAGAGATCAAACCCCCTTACGCAACGGAAACCACTGCCACCTACCCCAAAGGAAATCTGGAAGTTCAGCCCAAGAACAAACCATGGAGATGTACAGTAGAACAATATTAAGTGGCATAACTGTCATTATGTTTGAAATAAAAATACCGAGTGCTTCTTTATCCTATTAGTGTATAGCACAGTGAATTTTGGAGGATGGTTCATATAGGGTCATATCGCAGGTTATTGTTCTCATTAATTGACGACTTGTGCAATGAATTATAGGGTTAATCATTAAAACTATGGAAACTACCTAAAATATTAAATTTAAACGTTACAATTTTCTTCTTCTCATCTTATTTTTCTCAAAATGTTTCGCTACAATGAACATCCCGACAAATAAACTTATGGATGTCCAATATGTACTGCCAAGTATCTGTTATGGACATCCAAGTGGCTATTCGATGTGCGTCCATGGACATAAATAGGCTTCCAGATGGAGTACACACTAGATTATCACCTGGATATACAACGATGTACATTAAAAGATACTTCCATTGGACTTCAAATGGATATAAAATGGATGTCCTCTGGATAATGTGTGTTATTAGGGAAGGATAGTTATTTTAGGTTCGGGACATGCAGACTTGAATTGTACCAAAAAGGGACGTCCCTAGGACGTTGCGTACTGTCGATTAGATATATAGGAACTTGAATGTGAACAAACATTCAAAGTACTTTCCATTATAGTTATTTGAGTATCAGCGAAATGATGTATCGCTTATTTTGAATCGCATATACATGGTATTTCATCAAAGAAATGCCTCAGACTCTCTAGATTTTTTCGCTGCGCTCATATGCGGCAACAATTTTTAGTAATGAAACTTGTTGTCTCTTCAACAGTCGTTTTTGAATAATATTTCCAGCTATCATAAAACTCAATCAATCGATCTCCGACGCACTATTGACCCACCATATTTGAATTATTAAATCATTGACAATAATTAAACGTAGCATATTCCACAATTTAATTTATTTATGATATGAACAATTCACTGTATATTATAATATCGACATAACAAACATGAGATGGCATGATGTAGATATCCACCTTATTGGTGAAGGATGCAGATATTGTTTGTCCTTTACAATGTTGACTTGTTTTCTAGCAGTACATATGAGCAAAACAGGAACCCTGAATCGTCTGAGGACTCTAAGGGAGAAATGAACGTTATTATTATTGTAATTCAATGATTATTTGTCAATTAAATCGTTAGCTAGTGATATCAGTGGTTGGTGATCGCCAAAAAGCAACAGTCAAAATGAGCAACTGTGAGAGCATCCTCAAGTACACAAGGTACGCCTTGCTAATAGCTGGAGCATTCGATATACAGAACGGAACAAAAAACTCATCCTTTCTATACAAGATTTGGTCTTTCTTTTCGCTAGGCTACTACTTTCTGTTCGTCATGTCGTTCCTTGTGGGCATGATAGATTTACTGATGGATGACGTAGATGTAGTAACATTCAACGTCAATATGCAAACTTTCCTGTCCAGCTTCCTGTTACTGATGAAAATTGTGTTATTCTGCACCAGAGGAATCCGGGATATAATGAAAGAAGTGTACCAGTATGAGTACGACATCACCCACGATGACTTGGAGTGTACGCGAATGTACAACAGAAATTCCCGTTACAACTACAAGATATTCTTTTTATATTCCTTTCTGATGTCCTGTACTGGCTGCTCGTTCATGGTCGCCACTTTCAACGGGTGGAAGCTGATGAATGTGGAGAATTCAACGGAAAGCAAGACGCTCATCTACCATGCTTGGTTCCCTTTCGATATTGGAAATCCAACTTATTTCAACGTTGCGTACTTTTTTCAATTCCTGGTGGGCATTTGGTTACCCTTGTTTGTAGTAATGATTGATTCCCTGTTTATTTCGATGGTCGTCTTCGCTACTGCAAGAGTTGAAATCTTGGGATACAAGTTTGAACATTTTGAGATGTACAGTAATGGAAGGAATCAATCAACATTCCATGGTCTGCGAAATATTGTTATCGAACATCAAAATCTAATAAGGTGAGTAAATATGATCGATATGTACCTACAGTGTGTACTATTTAGAACAGCACTACACGGAAAAAATAATCACTAACCCTAGGTGAACATTCTGGAACACCGTAGAAAAGTTGGCGATCTGGCTCTATTTTATAGATATTTTCATGGACGATGCTCTTCTGAGATATCAAAAATGGGCGTATACACCTCAGCAGGACTTTTAACTTAAACCATGTTTATAATGATCCTGCTATACATAAACAATGATTGACGACATAATTCGATCGAAAAATTAACTGGAATGTTTCATTTTTGGACATGAATAATAGTACCTTCTGAAAACGGACCCTTTTATGACGTAGAAACTTCATCTCGCCATATTTAATAGAAAAAACCAAACGCCCGACGGAGACTGAGGCAACTGATATATCAATTTTATCAATTGTGATCTCGCGCTAATTCACTCTGTCAGAAATCACGCGTATCATTCATCTCTGTCTGGAATAGTCTTGTTCTCGGTCTTGTTTCAGTATTAGGGTTTTGACGTCACATCATCGCCTCGTTTTCAGAGGTCCGAAAAATCGGGGATTTAAATAATTTTTTATAAAACGTAGGAGGCTCACAGCAAGAAACGGTTTGCGGTAGTGAGCAAGTTTGGGTGAGTTCTATCGAATGATGAATTGAAATTTTTTTGTGATATAAGCCCATTGTACCTTCCTTGGCAGTACCTGCGAGATTAACCGGTCGAGCTGTGGCTTCGCACCCCTTCGTGGTCACTTAGGAGACCTGCAGAACATCTCTTTCCAAAGACTCGTTCATCCAACGAACAGCGAGGCTCTGGAACACATTGCCAAGGGAGGTGTTCCCCGAAGCATATAACCTCCAGAATTTTAAGAAGAACACCAATTCCTACCTTATTTTCCTTGGTTCTCACGATGTTCTCTGAACATTACAGGATATCCCTTTTAGTGGGAACCAGAACATTAAAAAAATTATTGACAAATGAAAACTTCTATACTATTTGGGTTGAAGAAACAAGTTGATAGCCGCAAGACTAAGTGATTTATTTACTCATCATCAGTGACTTATTCACTGGTCATTAGTTACTTATTTACCTGTCATTAGCTATGTACTATGAATAATTACATATGATATTCTCTTGGAAATGATGACCATGGTGAGAAGAGAAAACCCGTGCATTTAAAGAACTCATCGCATAGCTATGATGAATCAGAAAATCACAAAACGGATATGCTGAAGACGAATATTGAGACACCTGATACCGGGTATATCAGGATCATGGGCCAAGAAAAACGGTCCATCAGATGCACTCATACATTTGTTTCTTCAGTGATGTAGATGAAAAAGTTCAATTGAAATTAACTTTCATACTCATTGAACATCACTTTCTCCCACTTCGAGTATCATCGGAAGTGGAATATAGAATCCTGTAATTGATGTCAACAATTATGTACTGTTCTAGGAGATTTATGTTTTTCATTATCTTCTTCAAAAGAATAGAAAATCAAGAACTCGATAACTCACAGGTCAGAGAGCGGCACACAAACTGATCTCCACGAATTCCTAACAACACAGAGATGTCCTTTTTTTTTCACGGTACAAGGACATGAAAGCGGCATCCAGGGTTGTCGAGTAGATATCCCTAGGTTATCCTATTCGTGTTCCTGGAATATCTGATATCCATTCCCATCAGTCATGAAATTTCATCAAAATATTAAGTTGATTCTTTTTGAAAATGTCTGTTTCTCTTCTGCAAATAATTGTAATGAAAATGGAGAAAATAGTCTCAGAACTTCTAAAGAAATGACCATTTTCCGCAAACAGAAATCGTAAATGCATAATGTCCCTCATTTTTGAACACCCAAGAATGATGATATCCATACTCATCTCCTAACAAATTTGTACATATTCAGGTTTCTGTAGTTTAGTCCTGTTGATGAATCTAATTAGTACATTAACCTTCAGAAGGCATATTATCCAATGGAGTAAGGTGCGTGCCTGATGAGCTGAAGATCCCGTGTTTAATCCCTACTCACATTTTTTTCTTTTGTCGAAGTTATGTCCCTAGAATATCCTTGGGACGTCCTAGGGATATCCTTTCTTCGTATTTGGTACATCTCAGAGACGTACCAGAAGAACATCCCTTGGATGTCCTATTTGTCTGAAAGCAGATGTTCCTGGGACGTCCCTAATATGCACTTTGTCCTGACAAAGGATATCCTTGGGATGTCCACCCAGTATGACTCGGAATTTTAATTGTACTAGCGAGAACGCATGTATACTTCACAAATGCTAACATCATAATAATGAAACCGCGGATGCCGAACAGTGGGATTGGTCGCGTTGGACGTGGGCACCCGAATAATATATCGGAGATGTCCGAATGGCGAATACATGTATAAACTTGTCAGGAGTAACCATACCTTTGGAGACAGCTATTTCGATGCTTGGTATTACTATCAGCAATAACCTTCCTCGGGAAGATTACGTGAGATCAATTACTAAAAGCGCATCCGAAAAACTTGGTTTTCTGTTCCGCGGGCCAGGAGCTATTTCACTTCCAGTCAGCTGCTTATGATCTATAAGGCACAGATCCGACCTGTCCTGGAATAACTGTTTCCAAATTTGGAGTGCAACACCCAAACATACCCTAAAACTGTTGGATTCTGTCCAAAAAAGGGCAATTCGTCTCGTGGGTCATGCCTCGCTCACAAATTGACTCACTTCTCTGGAACATCGTAGAAAAGTTGGCAATCTGGCCCTATATTATAGATATTTTCATGAACGATGCTCTTCTGAATCATCAACAATTGTTTCTTCCTTGGCAGTCCCCGCGAGATTAACCAGTCGAGTTGAGGCTTCGTACCCCTTCGTGGTCACTTTGGAGACCAACAGAACATCTTTTTCCAAAGACTCATTCATCCAACGAACAGTGTGGAACTGGAACACATTACCAAGGAAGTTGTTCCGCGAGGCATATAACCTCCAGAAATTTAAGAAGAACCTCAATTCCTACTTATTTCCTTTGGTTCTCACGATGTTCTCTGAACAATACAGGATATCTGTTCTCGTGGGAACCAGAATATAAAACAATTAAGTCCTCTATACTATACTTTCGAAGTTAGCCAAACTGTGTTATATCATCAACCTTCTCCGAACAAAAGAGTTAATGTTGTTGAAGAAACTCAACATGTGTGGATAAAATTCAGTTTTTCCGAGCAAAAGAGTATTATGAAGTTGATATTGTCATGGAAAATAGTTTTCAGTGCCTGTATTATGTGGAATGAATCCAAGTCAGGACGTGGGGCAAATCAAATGGCTTCTGGCATTCTCAAATGGGCAGAGACTTCAAGTGAGAGCATAAAAGAGATTGATATCTGGTCAGATAACTGAGGAAAAGTAAAGATTTTTGTATGTCTAATGTGATTGTCCTACAAGCACTCAGTAAAAATATATGTGTATTATTGTATTTCAAATCACATTTTGAGGCATATAAGTTTGAATGTGTCGATCTTGAAAGAAATGGCAGGCGTGTTGTTTTTCTGAGCTTTTATCTCAGATTCGTGAGCAAATCAAGATTAAGAATTATTACCACCTACAGTCTTTACTACCCTGGAATCCAAGGATTTTTCACCGTTTCTATAAAAACTTAGTTCATTCTGATGAGACAACGGACGATATTTAATAATCAACAGTATTTAGCTTCAGCCTCCTGTCATTTTTTTGACCTAGCAATCGTTCAGAATTGAAAATAAATAATTTCAGAATACATTCACAGTATTTTATTACCCATATCAACTCCATTTTCATTAAAAAAAAAAGTATTCAATACTTATAGTTTTTCGTCGAAGTATAAGGGCCAAATGGTATTAACTCCATCACATTGACTTTTTTATATTTTTTTGGCAAAATCAATGAAAATATTTGAAAATTTGAGAAGGGAAAAAGGGAGAATACCCACATTTCATTATTGAGTTTATTTGTTCCTTTGATAGTTATGGAATACATATTTTGTGTCAACTTAATGTCTATGAAAACTTTCAAATGATTCTTCTGTAAAATTTGATTTTTGTGAGTTAATACAGTTTGGCTCTCAGGTACAGAGTTGCAACTGTGAATGTTCGTGAAAAAAAGTTTCTCTAGGATGGCATTTCAGACGCGTCGTATAAGAATTATTAAAAATGATAATTCGCATTCGGAGGTGGCATTGAAGTATGAGTGGAGATCTATACAGATGAATGCTTGACACAGTACTCGTGAAACATTTCAAGATATTGGTATAAAACCATTCGTTTTTACATGAAGTTCCTTTAAATTTCAGATGCGTTGAAGATATCAAACAATCCTTGAAATGGTACTTATTTGCAGAACTCTTGGTGAAATCTTATCACATAACAGTTTCGCTTCTGAACGTAAGTTAAACATTTGCAAAAATTCTTAGGTCTAATGAATTTTTTTTATCAAAATACAGGTGATACACGCAACCAATAAGGGAGATATTGTTTTCTACCTTTCCTGTGTCATGGTGCTACTACTTCAAGTTATGATGGTTTACTATAATGCTAACGAGTTATCATTACAAGTAAGTATAACCGAAACATGCAACTGCCTTATCACTGATACATTCCAATAAATGTTCCATGTTCTATCACAGAGATGTTTCTGTTGGAGATATAGCATCCCACTGAGCAGAGTATTATCTCTAAAATATTGCAGTAGTATTTCAATATAATGTGTAATTGTTATTGCAAAGAAATTGTATTATTGTGTTTGAAGTACAGTAACATTTTATATTCAATGAATCTCATTGTCATATTCTATCAAGGTTACTGGCAACATGAAATGAAAAGTATAGGAAAATTATATATTTTGTGTTATAAATCGTACAAAGCAGCAATTTTCGAATAATCGAATAATCGTATCGACTATTTCATAATTTATAAGTCAATTGGGAAAATTCCGAAATGTTTTCGATGCAACGGTGCTACGGATTATAGGCATTGCACTGCATAAGAATCTGGAACGAAGGGAATAATAATTGAATGAAATAATTAGGAATCTACCTCCCAGCGAGCACAAACATCCCTGGGATGTTTTGGGATGTTTTGAAAATGTTGGCATGAAGATGTTATTTTGAGACGTAATATGCAAAAGGTCTTTGAAGGATATTGAAGTATTGTTTTCGTTCTTCTGTGGCATTTCTTTGTTTGCCTACTGAGAGGTATCCCTGGGATGTTTTGGGATGTTTTAGAAATGTAGGCATGAGGATGTTTTTTGAGGCGTAATATGCACTTCCCAAAGAGGTCTTAGAAGGATATTGAAAGTATTGTTTTTGTTCTTTTGTGCCCTTTCTTTGTTTGCCACACTACAACGTCTCATGCTTACGTCACAATACGATGAATTCTGATTTGTTTTCGATTTTGTTATTTTTATACGCAATTGGCATTCGCGTTTGCAGCGTGTCACGCTTACATCACGCTGCTAACGAACAGAAAGGAATTTGGTGAAGTTTATTGTGTTAGAAGACTTATTTAGTTTGTAATAATGACCATCAGATGCAAGATGTGTTGTTCGGTGCCTCAGAGTAATCAATATATAAAAGTACGAATTTATCAATACACAGCTTCTCCGCAGTTGCAAAATTATGCATTGTGGAGAACATTTCAAAAATTGGGAAACCTATTTCCAATTATATGTCTGTGTGTAGTAAGCACTACTCAGAAACCGATTAAGAAGGTAATTTCATATCAAGAAAATATTTTTATGTTCAATCTATTTTCAATGCATTTTCTCATTCAAGGGAATGGAATCCTAATGCAAAAGTTCATTTTGACAAGAGGCTTCAAAAAAGTACCTCAAAAATGGTTTTTTTACAGCGATTTAATGTGTGCAAGACGCGTTGAGAATGTTTTGTTGTGTCCATGAAAAGGATTTAAAAAGAACCAGGGAGAAGGTAGTTTTGTGACATATCAAGGACATCTCGATAATTGCCGCCTGCGGCGGACATTGGCTGTTCTATAATAGTTCTATTCATGTGTGAACAGAACATCGTAGTGGAGGTTCAATGTCTCGAAATCTCGTACTTTTAACATCTTTGAGATGTTTTTGTGCTCGCTGGGCTGTTAGTTCATTTATCAGTTAATTAGTTCATTAGGGCGTTCAGAAAATGATCCTATGAAAACATGTAATTACTTTGATGTCTGTGACACAGGTCGATTAATGTGAAATATATTTTGCATGTCGTTTAATACCAAGGAATGTTTGAGGAATTCATTTGTTCGAGGAAAGCATGCATTTATAAGATGAAATATAATACATTCGAAATGTGCCAATGATGAAGCTGCTGCATGATTCGGTCACTGACATAAATTACTATCACTAGCTAGACCACAAATTCCATGAGATCATGCTAATTCATTCAAGAGATTGAACTTGGGTGCATTCAGGATCTGTCATATGTCTAGCTCACTCTTACTTATGTTCCCGAATACCAAGAGACGCGACTCGATGCCCTATATGCCATGAACGACAGTTGGGAGGTCCTGCACATAGGTCAGAGCGTTTTCGGAAACTTACTCAGGTTCATCGGATCCCCAACCTGAAACTTCGGTTACCAAAGCCACAGTAGAGAGCTTCTGTTCGAAAACTTGAGTGTTGCTTTCTCGATCACTGCCTCGTGTTGATTTTTCGTGAACCTACTCAAAATCGTCAGAGTCACAGAGGACACTGCAAGCGCATTACCGAATTATACGAAATTTATGTCAATCGAAAAACGCAGGAGTCTACCACTTCACGACAACCCTAATAGCACACAACGTACTAGGGACGTCCCTATTTGGTACAATCCACGTCCGAATGTCCCGAACCAAAAATAAGTGTCCTTGGGACGTCCCATCCACTACATCTCATGCAATGTCCGAGCAAAGATGTCCACGGAATGTCCCAGCTGGTACATAATTCCGAATGTCCTAGAAATAGTATCCCTCCCAGGTAGCACATCATATTGGCTGGAACCCGATTTCATATTGGGCCGATATAGATATATCGTACATGTGAAAAATAATATAGGTCCAATATGAGAGTATATTGGACAAACAATATTGGAATGATGATATTGGTGGGATATTGGTTCAACCTGAGCTGAATATGGATTGTCAGCTACAATATTGGAGCAATATAGGTTGTAAAATTCGTTAACAATGTGTTGAAAAACATATCTATGAATGTTATATAATATTGTTTCACGAATGTCGATACAACAACATCGTATACATATTGTTCCCGACATTTACAACCAATATTGAAATTTGAACATTCTCCCCATGTCGATTCTGAAGCGGTTATGCAATATTGTATATTCAAGTTGTACGGCATATCGGTTGGATATTGTTTTAACAATATTTATAACACTATATTCACCCATCTTGATTGATATCATTCTATCTATATCATGCGGAAGATATCGTATACAATTTGCTTCTTACATTTATAACCAATATCGCGATTTGAATATTGTCCCCATGTTGATTCAGAAGCGGTTGTGCAATATTGTATTTTTGAGTTCGACGGCATATTGGTTGAATATTGTTTGAACAATATTCGAAATATCATATTCACCTATCTTGATTAATATCATTCTATCCATATCATGCGGAAGATATCGTATACATATTGTTTCCAACAATTATAACCAATATAGCAATTTGAACATTCTCCCCATGTCAATTCTGAAGCGGTTATAAAATATTGTATGTTCGAGTTCGACGACATATTGGTAGAATATTGTTTCAACAATATTTGGAACATAGAATTTACCAATATTGACTGATATCATTCCAACTATATCGTGCGGAAGATATCGCACACATATTATTTCCAACAACTATAACCAATATCGCAATTCAAACATTCTCCCCATGTTGATTCTGAAGCGGATATACAATATTGTGTAATCGGATTCGACGGCGAATTAGATGAATATTGTTTCAATTGATATCATGTGGAAAATATCGTATACATATTGTTTCCAACAATCATAACCAATATCGCAATTTGAACATTCTCCCCATGTCGATTCTGAAGGGGTTTTCAATGATTCAAATATGAATATTAATAACAGCAATTCAATATATATCTTATATCGGACATAGAAGAGAAAAACAATATTGTAATTTCAAGTTCAATTGCATATCGGGTGAATAGTTTTCTAGCAATATTCAGAAAATAATATCATCTTATATTGGCTGATATGTGATTCACTATATCATGTGAGCAATATTGTTCACATATTGTTTTGAGAATACATATCGATATCGAAATTTCGATATTTATTCCATATTACGCACTCCCAAATCGTTGTCGATAGATGGCGCTATAAATGATTGGTAACGTACTCCCATTGCCGATCAGACGAGAGAATATAAATATTAGCTCTAGACGATTGTAAAGTATTATAACCTGGAGTAGGGGTTAACCGTGATCAACAAGGAGGCTTCCCCAATGCAAGGCCCTTTCATTGAACTCCGGCTGGGCTGACCTTTGTGATTATTCCTGATGCGAATAACTCGCAAATATTGGTATGAAAATATTTCACCAATATTTTGGAGACAATATAGCTACATGATGATTTTCAATAATGTACCAATATTTCCAACCAATATTGCACCAGTATCGTCAAATGTTCACTGTCCATTCATCAGCAATATTGATATCACATTTTGTGACCAATATAACTTCACGAATATCCCAGCAATATTGGTATGAGAATATTCTACCAATATTTCTGAGACAACATACCTTCATGATGATTTTCAATGATTCACCGATATTTCCATATATTACACCAATATTGCCGAATGTTCACTATTAATTTCTCGCCAATATTGATATTACATTTTGTGTCCGATATAATTCTACGAATATTCAACCAATATCAATATGAGAATATTCTACCCACATTTGGAAACTGATATTGTACCAATATCGCCGAATGTTCACATTTTTTTTCTCGCCAATATTACTTTCACAATATTTTGCCGATATTTTCATAATATTGCACCGATATTGTCCCAATATATGTGTGCTACTTGGGTAGACGTCCCACGTGGTACAAATTGTAGAATGTTCATGCAAGAACTTCCTTGACATGTCCCTGATGGGATATGATTTTTAACCTTCTTTACGGACATCCATCGGATGGCCCGAGTAGTATATATTCTGACATGACTTCAGATCTTATATAATGTCCCTTCTAGACAACCATGAAATGTCCCTGTTGGTACATTCCTTCAAATATCTCTTCACAGACGCCCTCAATATTTTCAGGATCATATAACAATCGAAATGTTTCTTAGGGACATCCTTCGAATGTCCCATAGAGATATCCGTTGGATGTCCCAATTGGTACATGGACTGTACTCTTCCAATAGCCTAGAATTAACGTCCAATGGACGTCCCAGTCGGTACTTCCAATATGTTGTCCCTGTTAGGACGTTAACTTACACCTCGCCGACGAATGATTGCTCGCAGGCCATAAGTACTCCTCGTCAATGTCCTTCACGTAAGTCCATTGGACATCCTTGGGAAACTTTTTGGGGACTTTCTACGGACCATCAACTCAATTGGATGTCCTAATCAGTTATGCAAGATCTGGTCCTAAAGGGACCCAGAAGAATCTAAATTCAAGAATAATTCGTACGTCCCTGGGACGTCCTATGAACATCCAATTTATATCCCTCAGCGTTGCTGATAGGTTGTCCTTTGAATGTCCTAAGGATGTCCTAAGGATGTCCTCTGTAGTGGTTGATGAGGAATATTGTCGGATTTATGTAATCGATAGTTGTCCCAGAGACATCCCTCAAGGACGTCCCTAGTTGGTCCTCAAGTGGGACATTTGTGCGTCCCACAGACGTCCAATGGACGTCCACGGTACCAAATTCGAACGTCCTATGGACGTCCTGAATGTCCCGACAGGACGTCCTGAGGATATCCCTGGGACATAAGTGTGTTATTATAGGGAACATAACATATTATCAAAATATCTTGCATGTGGGGAAAAAATTTCGTTCGGTGATATACATTTTCCTCTCAATCCCCATAATTCGATTCAGTAATGCATAGAGAAGAAACTTTGGGTAGGTGTGTTTCTTAATTGAGCCAAGAAAGTATGAGACAAGTCCACCAATCACCAGAAGAATATAAATATTTGTAACCATATCAAATAAGTACTTGAATATAATGTGAACATTTTCGTCTCTCCCAAATTCACGGACCACAAAAAAATAAAGATTAAATTCTGTGTTCCTAGCCTGACTCGTTCGTAAACTTGGAACGCTTGTAGGTGATCCTAGCTTTTTTGTCGCGTGACCTCTCTGGATCGAGTTAACAACCCAGAGTGAGTTTCCGAAAACACCTAATGTGTCAAATGACCAACCCTGAAGACGAGAGCCTAAAGTTTACCAACTATTCCCAAACCTCATTGTCAGATTGGTCACAGTGAATCACATGATATATTATGGACGCAGGCGCATTTGCTCGTAGAAAAACATGGACTTATTAACGAGACCTTCGGAGTCTCGAGAGGAAGGAAAAACATCCTCGAAAGCTTAAATTACTACACAAATGATCACAGTGGGCTGACGCCATGCTAGTCGTGAACGAGAATGAAACTCCCTGACCAAACTCATCCTCCACAATTGCATCGCGAGAAATAATCATTGAAAAACACGAATCTCAACAACGGTTCGAAAGATTTAGGCACTTCTCCCTGAAGGTGAAACATCGAAAAACAACCTATTTTCCTATTTGTTTACGAAGGATTGAAATAGTTTTTCACAATTATATTGGAATACGTATTGTGTTTTCGAGGTATTTATTTATTCAAGCATGCCATCACATTGTGCTGCTGTACCATGCACAAATACACAAAAAATGAAGCGAGAGACGAAGGATCAAAGATGTTTCAGGTAAGTGATCTAAAAGTACTGTAGTCTCTCATATTTTTCATTTTGAAATATTGTCACATCTCTCGAGTTTTTAAAATTCCTTCTGCTATATGAGCTATAGTGAAAATGTCTACAGCACACACGACCATAAAGTCATTTCTCTTCATTTCAAACCACTCCTCGCCCTCCCGTTAGATTGCACGAACACAAGCTTTTTCCCTTGTTGAAGAAACCTGACAAGTATTTTTATTTGCTCTTATTGAAGAAGTAATCCTCAATGTGAGTGACTAGGTACGGTACTTTTAGATCACAATGTGCCTGAAAAATCTTAATTCTTCGTCTCTTGCTGCATTTTTTGTACATTGTACAACACAATGCGATGGCATGTTTGAATGATTAGATATACCAAATACGAAAAGTGAGGTTATTCTGTGTTGTTTCACCTCTAGGGTCGGTTATCTGACAGATCTTGCACGCGACCTATTGAGCTGAAGCGTTTTCAGACGAGCAATCTGGATGAGATTCTCGGGTTGCCATACCTTTTCAACTTCAATTTCGGAGCCGGTAAGTTGTATCTCGGAGGAGGTAAACTCGATTCCAGAATTGGTTAGTTAGATTTCAGAAATGGTAAACTCAATTTCAGAATCGGTGAGTTGAATTTCAGAAAAAGTCCATTCAATAACAGAAATGGTAAGTTGTATTTCAGTTTCAGAAAATAAATCCTTATATCTGTTTGACATATTTTCAATTGCATGTGGAAAGAACAAATCATCTTCAGAATAATTGGATTTTTGAGAACTAATAAATAACATACCTATACTTAAACTTGATCTTTGATTAATCCATACAGATATGTCGTTCATTCGAATCGCAGAATATGGATAGTGGTGTCGCACATGATTTGAAATAATTCATACACAGTTGAGATGTATGTTCTCATTGAATGATCTGCACATTTTTCAAGACATCAAAGTCTGAATTATATTTGGTTAAGCAATCTGTTTGGATCCCCTGCTATGACCCTTTGGTGATGCTCCTGCAAGAAGCTCTTCACTTCTGACTTGAAGGTATTTCATAATATGTTCAATTATTGGGTTCAACATTGAAGGCTGTAAGGTGCCAATCTGCAAATGAGGACATCTTGGAATCCTTCCTTCATGCGAATCTCCTAAATATATTCTTGAATGTACTGGTAGAAAAGTTGGCGATCTGGCTCTATTTTATAGATATTTCCATGGACGATGCTCTTCTGGAATATTACAATTGTTCCTCCCTTGGCAGTCCCCGCGAGATGAACCCGTCGAGTTGAGGCTTCGCACCCCTTTGTGGTCACTTTGGAGACCTGCAGAACATCTCCTTCCAAAGACTCGTTCATCCAACGAACAGCGAGGCTCTGGAACACATTGCCAAGGGAGGTGTTTCTCGAGGCATACAACCTCCAGAAATTCAAGAAGAACACCAATTCCTACCTTATTTCCCTTGGTTCTCACGATGTTCTCTGAAAATTACAGGATATCCCTTTTCGTGGGAACCAGAACATGAAAAAAGGTGCATAATCCAGAACTACCACTATGGTATCTGTAGGATGCCCATTTTGAATGCACGCTCATCATTCCATGAACACTGAGATTCATATAGTGACTTATTCACGATAGTGAATGTGTATTCAGGATTGTTAATTTCAAGTTGAACTTTTCTTTCTGAAATTGCACTAACCAATTCTGAAATATAACTTATCATTTCTGAAATTGAATGTATATTTTCTGAAATTCAAGTCACCGATACTGGAATTGAGTTGATCATTTCTGAATCCGAGTTTATCTTTTCAGAAATATGACTCACCGATTCTGAAATTAAAGTTGAAAAGGTATAGATATAGTAATTATGTCAGTGGTTTTGGTGAACTGGTATTGAAATTGTTTTTGCATTTTCAGAGCACAAATTTGAGCCTGCAGATATTCAAAAGTAACTGGTACGACCAATGTCCTGAAATAGTGAGAAGTCTTTCGATTGTGATGGCCAGAGTGCAAAGACCACTTGTACTTATCATCGGCGATTTTCGAGTAATCGACAACGAACTGATTGTGAACGTCAGTCTGATATCTGGATTGTAGTACTGACTTTACTTTAATATGCGTATTTTTTCAGATGATCAAAGCTGCTTATACGTTTTTATTGTATCAGGAGATTTAGAAGTTTTCAAGGGATGTGGAAGTTTCCTCCTGATGACTTTTCATCAAATTAGTTTTACGCTTTTTGCAATGTAAAATGTCTATTGGGATGATACAAACGAATTCTGTTTTAGAATAAGTACAATTTGATAATTTTCAGGTGGCAAACGATAAAACTATCGACGAATCTCTCTACTATGAATATAGGTATGTTAAGTTTTGCTATTCGTTATTCAGCATGCAAACAAGGCCTGGAAACGGAAGGAATAATCAGAAGAAGAATCCATAGATAGATATATTTATTTGTTTCAAAATCGTACAGTTTGAGAAAAAACGTCAAAATCAGGCTAAAGTACATAAATAAATAAATATCGTAGGTATAAAACAAACATAATAATATACAAGATTTTACAGGTACATAAACATGAAAAGTATATAAACGTCTACTCGAAAACATTATTCATCAGTCAGCGATAATTGGATCATAGAAGAATTCATCCGAGGTGTAATAAGATTTTTTCAGGAGCAAGTTTTTCATTTTATTCTTGAATTGGAATTAATTTTTTGATTCTTGTATAGACTTTGGCAGGCAATTGTATAATTTACATCCATTGTAATATAAACTTTCCTGATACCGATCAGATGAGTGTTGAGGGGGCAACAGATAATCTTTGTTCATTGTATTGTAATTATGTTCGACTTTTTCAGTCTCAAAATAACGTTTATGATTATATACAGAACAGGTTACTTCATAAATGTGAAGGAAAATCATTGTGAAGATAC